ATATATATATATATATATATATATATAATTAATATATTAAATTAATATATATATATAATATACTATATTATATTATTATATTATATTATTATATTATATATTATAATACTATATTATAATACTATATTATGTATATAACATACTATATATATTATATACTATTCTACTACTTCACTAAAATTCACCTATTTTTTCTAGGAAGAAGAATATCGCATGTCTTTGGATCCAAAATACGCGCATCTTTCAGACGACCTTCATGTGGAAATAACAGCGCTTGCACCTCCAGCAGAGGCTTATGCTCGTATTGCATTTGCATTAGCCGAAGTTCGGAAATATCTTATTCCCGACAACAACGACAACATACGTCAAGAACAAATGCGCGAAATGGAAATGAGTATGGCAGACGATCCAACAAGTGCTGACGACAGAAGACCATCCGTCAGAGGAGTACCAAGTGGTGGTGGAATATTAAGGCCAACCGCGAGACCAACAATGCCTCGCTCTTCGCGAGGTTAGTGATATTTTTTAACCATCAATTATTTGTTTGCCTTCAAGCGTTACGGTAAACAAATACGGTTTCAAAATATGATACGGTTTCTCAGGCTTTTTTCATTTTAGCGGCGATACTTCCACCACCTTCGAGCCGAGGACCAATCTCACGTCCCGTGTCAGGAAAAAGCAAAGTGTTCTCGATTTTAGATCGCGCAAGAGCCGCGATGGATCAAAGTTATGGGTAAATTTTAAATTAAATTAATTATTCTAATTAAGTGAATATGATTACAAATGTACAATGCTATATCACATGCAGCTATGAGACTGCTACTCCACCTCCGAGTAATCGTGTTGGCTCTCATCATGATTACGATTATCACACATCAGGAAGCAGTAGCAGCCGATACGGAGACCGGCATTACACATCGACGTCAGGGTAAGTATAATTGACAATTTTTACTAATTTTACTAAAAGGTTAATTCTTCGAAAATGTTTTTATTCGCAATAGTTCATCCCCATTTTATACATGTACATTATCAGTCTCATTTCTTAATGTATCACTTGATACAAATTAATGAGGTAAATACCACAAATATATAATAAAGTTTTATCAATGAATATTATGATTACGAACATTATGACTGCTATTTTTTATATAGTAGCTCATAAAAAGTATATATAACACTAAAATAATGATTTAAATATTTAAAATAAAAAAAATAATTAAATATTTAAAATAGAGAAGAATGATTAGAAATGCACACGCGTAATACTTTTAATCTATCGTATATCGCAATCGTAAAGTTGTAGCAACGCAAAACCAACACTTTTAAAACAATTTAAATTTTACGTACACACGGCTATTTGCTTTCGAGATTGCCTTCATTATGTTAAACCCATAACAATTTGTAGTTTCGTTATCTATAATGTTCTTACATAATCACATTTCCCTGTTGTGCAACATGATTGGCCTTCCACAAACTTGATTCACGTGTACTCAGTTGATCAGGAATATTTTTTTTTCTATCATTATTACGGGACATACATATTCTATGAAAAAACTGTAGGTTACTCCGTTTTCAAGACGTTTTATTTTCATTTAATCTTCCTTCTTATGTTATTAAAATCTTGAAGCTTAATTTACTTATTCACTCGAATAAGAATGCATTTGAAGAGATGTCATTTTTCTTTTAGAATATTTATTAATGTCGTATAATTCAATAAGTTTTGAAAATTATTTTCGTTAACTGTACACATTAAAGCTCTACTTATTTCCATGATATGATAATTAATATTTCTGTTTTTTCATTAATCAATTTTGTTTTCATTGATCATTTAAAGTTCTATTGATTTTCTTTTGGGATGTGCACAAGTTTGCACGAATTTGGAAAAATGTAGTTCCTTAATGTGTATTGTACTTTTATACATCATTTAGAGATGATATGTATCCTTCCTCGAGGTATACAACATACGAGTACGAAGATGATACTGTTCCGCATTCTTCGCACAACTACTACGAAACATCAGAATATCCAGGTAACATACTTATCATTCTACATCGTTACTACTTTTTTTTTTTTAGCATAAAAATTTAACACGTAATTAAACAGAAATTATCGCGAACATACACGCATGTGTGATATATTGGAAATTAACATAATAGCAGTGGGATTAAACCATTTTAATATCTAAATTATACATAGAAAAAGTCCCTGATTTATTATTCATAAAAATAAATATTTTGAATCAAACAAAATAAAAAGCTTGATAATATAAAAATTTTAAATAGAAATTTAAATACTCTTAGAAGTTTAAAAAACATTAATAATTATTTCTTGTAATTTTCCGAACGATTTATAACAATTTCATTACTCACAATAAAATCCAAACGAATTAAATGAAATAATAAGATTCGTTGTTTTACAAAAATCTAGGAATTCCATATTTCTCGTACAAAATAATACACGAATAAAAAATTTAACAATATCGATTGAAACTAATTTCCATCGACTGCTTAAAATCAAGCTGTATTTTTTTTCAAGATCGAATTTAAAGATTTCCCTATAATATTCAAATACTAAATAAATACGGAATGGCTTCACATAACAATGTGTGATATTAGCTGAATTATT